AATTAAAGAATGATCTGTTGAAAGAAGCTCATTTAATTCGTTGACTATACACCCTGGTGGAAATAAGATGTATATGGATCTTAAGAGTCGATATTGGTGGATAGGAATGAAAAGCAATATCATGGAATTTGTGTCCAAATGTTTGACGTGTCAACAAGTCAAGGCGGAGCATCAAGTTCATTCAGGATTGTTGCAACCAATCTCCATTCCTCAGTGGAAATGGAAGAATTTGACAATGGATTTTGTAGCGAGGTTATCTTTGACTCCGAATAAGAAAGATTCAATTTGGGTGATTGTTGATCGATTGACTAAGTCAACACATTTCATTTCCGTTCAAACTGATTTCTCCATGGATATGTATGATGAGTTGTAGATTTGAGAGATTGTTTGATTGCATGGTGTGTGTCTATTTCTATAGTTTCTAACTGAGATCCTCGATTCACATCAAGATTTTAGAAAGCTTTGCATGGAGCCTTAGGAACTCGATTAAACTTCAGTACATCTTTTCATCCTCAGACATATGGACAATATGAGAAAACTATTCAAATTTTAGAAGATATGTTAAGAGCTTGTGTCATTGAGCTCAAAGGGTCTTGGGAAAAGTATTTGTCACTTGCCAAATTTGTCTGCAACAATAGCTACCAGTTAAACATTAAGATGACTCCCTATGAAGCTTTATATGGGAAAAAATATCGTAAACCATTAAACTGGTATGAGCTCAAGGATCGAAATATTCTTTGTCTTGATTTGATTAAGGATATAAAAGATAAAGTTCGAGTGATTCAACACAATCTCAAAGTAGCATCCGATAGACAGAAGTCGTATGCGGATTTAAAAAGGAAAGAGATTGAGTTTGAAGTTGGACATAAGGTATTCCTGAAAGTATCTCCTTGGAAGAAAGTATTATGTTTTGGCTGGAAAGAAAAACTTAGTCCCAGATTTATTGGCCCGTATGAGATTGTTAAGAGAGTGGGACCAATGGCATATTAGTTGGCTTTGCCACCGGAAATAGAGAAGATTCATAATTTTTTCCATGTTTCCATTCTTCGAAAGTATCAATATGATCCTTCTCATATAATTACATCGGGAGAAATAAAAGTTTAACATGATTTGACTTATAAAGAAGAAACAGTGCAGATTTTGGCATATGAAGTTAAGCAGCTAAGGCATAAAATGATTTAGCTGGTCAAAGTTTTGTGGAGGAATCACAAAGTAGAGGAAGCAACATAGGAACGTGAAGAAGGCATGCGTAGACAATTTCCCCATCTCTTTGTGTACTGAAAATTCGAGGACAAATTTTCTTAAGGGGAAGATTTATAACATCCCAAAAAACTAGGCCAGTGGTTAAAATGTACGTTTTTTTAAACTTTGTGGTTAATTTTGAAAAATTGAAAAGTACAAGGAGTTAATTTGAAATTATTGGTATAGGTTGAATTCAAAGATTGAAAGCTAAAAGGGCATAATGATTATTAGATAAGAAAATAATTAAAAATTCATTGTTTGGTGTTATATATATCCACGTGGGAAAAGGAAAGAAAAGGGTAAAGAAAAATCTGGAGACTTTGGTTCATCTATATTCTTATTCTCTTCCCATGACTCCATTGGTAAGTTATCGATCAATAACAAGTTCAGGACGATTAAAAGACATAAGATCAATCAAGAGTGTTAAGTGTTTTGCATGACTAAGTGAGGCTAAGGTGAGTGCATATTATTATGAAATATGATCATATAGAAAGAAGACTTGCGATGAGTCTATTTCCAATGTTTTGTTTGTATGGAAAGAAGACTTGCAATGAGTCTATTTCCAATGTTTTGATTTTATGAGTTCATGAATACAAGTATATTGTTGATATGATTTCTATGTGTACATGAGTACAAGTATATGTTTATATGTTACATGCACTAATATACATGAGCTATGTTTTACATGATCTATGTGGATATATGAGAATAAGACACAAGCTATGTAAAAATGGTCTATGTGAATACATGTCTATGTGATAAGCCATGTGAAATGGTATAAAAGGTAAAGCCCATAAGTATGTGATACGAGAGCTAAGGGTATAATTGGCATGCCAAGAGTCGAGGGTTCTACGCGGTCCTTCGGGACAATTCTACGTGGTCCTTCAGGATATTTCTACGCAGTCCTTCGGGATATTTCTATGTGCTCATTCGGGATATTTCTATGTGGCACTTCGGTGCAATTTCTACGCTGCACTTTGATGCAATTTATACGAGCTGTGGTGACAACATTATGCACAACCTCAATGCACTTACATACTTTAAGTTCTCAGAAATGTACCATGTGCTATTAAAAAGAAATAATATGAATAAACAATACATAATGTTATATGTTTTTGTCTGATGAAGCATATGATAGTTTCTGTACTTATGATGGTTATAAATATTAATTACATGATTACATGTTTTAATGTTTCATTCATGCATTATATGCCTCGCTAAGTCAAAGACTTATCATGTGAGTGTTTCACACGTAGGATAAAAGAAGCCAGATGATCAAGGATAGGAAGTCAAGATAACATATTTCTACCAAGGATCAGATCAGAAGTGATTTAAACAGTGGATTCTTTTGTTAAATTAAATAATGTTGGCATGTAATTAAATGTTTGAATCGTATATGTTCTGATCAGTTTTGTAAACCTATTTGATTGTATTTAATGTAAATTATTCAGTTTTATTTTTAATGTGAATTTGAACTTTTCAACTATTTTGTACAAGTAAATTATTTGAAAAGTCAATGTGAAACCTTATATTTGTATCCGGGTCGGATACGGGTTGGGGGTGTTACAGTATGCGTCTCCGATCTCCATCTTTCCACCAAAATATTTATAAGTGAAGGGTGCAACTTCGCACTGTCACCAGTTATATTACTGATATATCCAAAATCCGCTAAATATAAATAGTCAATAATATCCACATTGGGCGGTGTCACACAATTTATATGACACTCTAATACACGTTCATATCTTTACGAAATATAAATATTAAAAAATTATTTCAATACCAAAACAAATAGACTAAATCAATAATTAAATAGTAAAAATACAAAATAATATTAATTAATTTACCTCATCATTTCACCTCCAATAATCGAGTACGTGACTTCGATTATGCATTAATAGACTCTCCGCCATGGTATGAAATCTTTGAATATATGAAAGGGATGGGTGTGGTGATGAATAGGAGTGGAGGGCCCTATTTATAGCCATTCTCTCACTCGGGAAAGCACGGTTTTAAATGCAACTTGTGTCCTGCAAGATGCGAGTTACGTTAAAAACACGTGAAATTTATTTCATTCGTAGTATCTCGCGGTTTGTAAGACGCAAGATTATTTTAACTTTTAAATTTCAAAATATATTAAAATTATAATATTATTATTTATTATATTTAAAATTTTACACATAGTTTTTCATTTTGAAATATATTATAATTATTTTTTTAAAAAAATTCTATTTTAATTACTATATTTATATATTATTATATTTAATAATTAATATTATTTTTTTGAATTAATCACTAATATTTGATCTATTGCTCGACTAATCCAGATTTGAAAACGTCAGGATTCGAATCATTGACCTTACTTGAGGGACCTAGTGTCTCATCCCACTAAACCAACTGATTGTTGGTAATAATTAATATTATTAAATAATATTATTATATTTATTTATTATATTCATTTAATTTCTACGTTTCAAATTTGACAGTTATATGAAATATAAAAGAACCTTGCGCTTTGTAAGTCGCAAGGTCTCCTATAAATCTCGCTTTATTTTAGATCATGAATGCTACCTTGCGCTTTGCAATGCGTGATATCATTTTATCCAATTGTTTTATTGATTTACCTGAAAAATACACTCACATCTGATGTATCTCGTATGTTGAAAGATGCAAGGATTTAACACGTAATTTACAGACTGCGAGATCGTCCGATGTAGATGATTTATGAGTTATTCTTTCGAATAATTTATAAAAGACTCTATTTCCTTAAATAATTATTTATTTAAAATTTTTAATATAAAATTACCCTTTATCTCGTCACAGATGGCTGACCTGACACCATATTTATTTACCACCATACGATGGTGGCCTTACACTCCAAATTCATGACGGTGGGCCCCTTTCGTGCAAATCCGTGCATCCTGTAGTCCACGTGGCTTACTGTCACTGGGTCTACTCCCCAAAGCCTAAAGGAGTTGTGGGTCCCATAGCGCAGAATCTTCATGCCTGAAGAAACTGAAACACAGGTACCACGTGTCAAACAGGGAACGCAAAGATGACGAGGAAAGTTGTAGTTGCTTGTGATGATTATTCATAGGACCGCACCACGTCATCCTCGTTTTTCCCGTTGCCTTAGCAGTTAGATATGATTAATTTTAAAAAATATTATATAAAAAATTTAATTAACTTTTTTAAATTATAAAATTGAAGAAAATATATTTTTCTATTTTAAAAATGGTTACAGAACTAATTTATTTTGCAAATTTTGATACTATGTGCTCCCTCCTTCCCATATTTTTTTTGTCTGTTATTAACAATGTATATAATTTTAGGATATATATTTAATAAAAAAAATAATAAAATTATCTGAAAAGATGATTTGATAGATTTATTTTAGTATATGTAAAAGAATAGGACATATAAGAATAAAAAAATATAAATATTATTGTTAACTCTTTTAATAAGATATTTTAAATAAAATAATTTAAAAATTAAAAGAAACATATTTAATGTGATGGAGAATAATATATTTATCCAAAATCTTATTAATATTGATTTTCTAATTTTCGTTTGTAACTAAGCGCGTGCACTCACCTAAATCCTCGGCACCCAAGAAATCTCATGATCCCAGAAACAATAAAGGCAACACACGAAACACAGTACTTTATGACGCAAGCAACTCATTTTTATCCCCCTTGTTTCCCCCTCTCGTTAACGTTGCCAATTTTTCATTCAAAAGCTCACTTGTTTTTCGTTCTTTGCCCCCCTCCCCCCAAGAAGTTGCTAAACTGACGTACCACCGCCTTTCCTTCCAATGAGCACCACCACCACCTCCTCCGTCAGCGGTGCCGGCTTTTCCATCGACGAGGAGGAGTCCACGGAGGAACGAATCAGGAGGCTGATATCGGAACACCCTGTCATAATCTTCAGCCAGTCCTCTTGTTGCATGTGTCACGTCATGAAGAAGCTCCTGGTTACCATCGGGGTTCACCCTACTGTCATCGAACTCGATGACCATGAGATAGCTTCCCTCCCTCCTCCTCAGCCGGAGACCGCGGCTCACGGTAGTATCTCGTCTCGGAATCCGACCCCCGCCGTGTTCATCGGTGGAACCTGCGTCGGCGGCCTTGAATCCCTCGTGGCTCTTCACCTCAGTGGCCACCTCGTCCCGAAGCTCGTCGAAGTTGGCGCTCTATGGGGATGATGATAGGTTATTATAATAGCATTAAAAATCAATATGATCAAGTCGGCCATTTTTAATGCTTTTCTTAATATGGGTTCTTTCCTGTCATCAAAATTATGATCGTAATCTTTGCAAGTTCCTTTTATTATCAATTAAGTTTAAAAGTGAGTTTGATCGAATCTTATTTCGAAGATAATTTCTTCCAACGTTATTTTCTCCATCGATAATACTCAAATCTTATTTAAAAATATATATATAGAACTTCTTTCACTGTGTTCAACAGTTTCTATAATTTGTTTCAGCTTTCACGACGATCCTGGTTCGAACTTGCAGTATAAAGTATACAGAGTTTTCTTCCTTTTCTACCATGAAAGCAGATCTTAGATAAAGTTTCCATAGCTGTTAAAGAGAGGGTTTCATGATCCCAAGAACACTATATGAAAAGAAAAAGAAGTTAAAAAAAAAACAATTCCTTGGTCCCCAGATAGCTTAAATTAGTTAATATATTCATATTTTCAATGCATTTCTCAAATAAATGTATATATACACACAATAGAAAAATATTGTATGCATGCTGGGATTAAACAAAAAGGGTCATTAAAAATAACAAGTTGGAATGTTCTTGTTGGAACCTTAATGACGATCGAGTAAAATAAAAAAATGGGGGCCAATCTACCAATTTTATATTGGAATGACTAAAATATAAATTAGAAGATTTTAAAAAGGACTAGAACTGAAAATTTTCCATTTATTAAAGAGTTTAAAGGGATTGAATTCAGTTATTTAAGCCCGATATAAAATCTTTACAGCCAAACATAAGAAGAATTTTTATAGATTCTTTATATAATAATTAATGGCACAAATCAATCTACTTCGGTGGTTAAGTGAATCGTTGATTTTTTCTAAAAATCATGTGATCAAGTATTAGTAATTGCAATAGGGTGATTAAATGTTGAGAGTATTTCGAATAATTATAACCTTAATAATCATTTTAGCTTAATTAAAAAAACAAAAAATAATTTTATTAGACGTTTAAGTAATTAAGTTTTTTCTTCATTTAAGTGGATTATTATATGTCTAATTTTTATTTAAATATTAATATAAAATATATAAATAAATTGAAACAAATATCGATTTTGTATCAAATAGTATTTTTTTTATATAATTTATATTTTGCGAGGGTAAAGGGTAAAGTAATGAGAAATGGGCAATTGAAGTATCCCATTGAAAGTTCCTTAATGGGTAAGGTGTTGGATATATGAACTGCAAAACTACACCGTTAGCACTGACTGAAAATATAAACAGTAATTAAGAAGAACAGATTCGTAAACCGTGTCGTGGTAAGAACCACTGCCTTAGAAACGAATTCGCCTCGATGTGTGTAATCGCTGCAGTAGGCGGACCGTCCCCCGAGGTTAACACGGTCGCTCCAAATTCCGTACACCCGAAACCGGAGTGGACTGCTGGTGGTATTGTACTTCTGATCGGAAAGCACTCAGAGAGAACTCACGGAGAGAACTTTAGAAAACACTTTGTAAGTGAATTGTAAAATGTTTTGGAGTGAGTTGAGAAGCTGAATATAGCTCTCTATTTATAGGCTAGAAATAGGGTTAAAATCGTCCATAAAATTTCAGGATTAAACCTCTTATTTGTAACAGCTGAAACGTCTAGATGAACCTGACTCAGAAATAGTCCAGGTTCATTGTATCATTATTCAGCTGTTATAACTCCCGAAATTATATCATGTAACCCCTGGAATTAAATCAAATAACTCCTGTAACTCCTGATATTAACAGCTTGTCTCCTCTGTACAAAGCTGTAAATCAGTCCAGGTACATCTTAACGTTTCTGATTTAATTTAGGAATAAACTGTTTAATTTCTGATAAAAAATAATAATTCAGCTGTTATTATTTGAAATTCAAACAGTCCTCAGCAGCCTATAAATATCAGTTGATATCTTTCACATTTTCCATTTGTTTCTTTCAAAGAGAAATTCCTCAAGAATTTTCTCTAAAAAGATAGTATCCGCGCGACGTGTCGAAGACACGTATTACCACGACCACGACCCGACCACGACCACGACCACGACCACGACCACGACCTCGACCTCGACCACGACCACGACCACGACCACGACCACGAGCCGAGCCGAGCCGTGCCGAGCCGAGACGAGACGAGACGGACGGACGGCGGCGGCGGTGCGCGAGCCCCCCTTGTTCTCTATCACTCAACAAGGAAGTGGAATGTCAAGCCTTAAATACCATTCCCAATAGTGTTTCCAACACTATGTGGGATTGAGCATTACCAACATTCCCCCTAATGCGAAAGAAATCTTCTGAAACTCGAAAACAAGCTTTCCAGAAGAGTAATAGCGAGATTAGTTGCTTAAGCACTAGTGAACATATCTGGAACTAGTACATAGTGATGATGAGCAATCCTTCTCTTAGATAAGTGAAACTAGTCTGGAACTTTCTAAGATCAGGGTAAACTCATAACACACAACTAACCCCTTCATCCACCTGAGTCCTCGATGTAAGATATATATATACAAACGTATATATTTGGCCATCTTACCTCAGGATTCTAGTAAGTGTGCTAGAAAAACAGTCCAACATTTTTCATAGAAGGCGGCTAACCCTTCTCACTTACATAGGTTATTTCATCAAGTTTATCTCAACATAAACCACCCTTTAAAAGGAATATGAATAATTAAGAGCTTTTATAATAGCTCAACCTCACAAAGGGTTTGGTGACTTTTTTCAAGTTCATTATAAAACCACCCAAACTCTGGGCTAAGAAGTCATTAAGAATAAATATTCAACCTCATTTATCGGTAAATTCAATAAGTCCTTCTCACTAGAACCACCAAATACTTGGATTTGAATTTATTAAGAGTTTAACAAACTCAACCTTTCTGTCGGTAAGTTCATCATTTCCTACCCACTCGGTCTGGGTTATGAACTTATTAAGAATAGATATTCAGCCAAAATCGGTAATTCATCAAGTCTTTCTCACTAAGACCACCCAAAGCCTGGGCTAGAATTTATTAAGAGCAATTAAGCTCATCCTGGGCATGCACATTATTCATCATAGGGATAGGCAGTAGGATGTGCACTATGAGTCTTTCCATGGTTTCGTTTGACCACATGAACTTAGATAACTAAGTTGGGTATCCACCATGAATTCCTCAACCAATGGGCTTTAGACCCATCCCCCTCGATGAATCTAGGACCAGCTTCCGACTTAACCCTTTGGTAAGTGGATCTGCTAGGTTCCTTTCCGACTTCACATACTCTAAAGAGAGCACTCCATTCTTTCAAGTGTCTAACTGATTCATGTCTTATGCGAATGTGTCTTTTCTTACCATTGTAAGCTTGGTTCTTAGCCACATATTGCAGCTTGTGAATCACACAACAATGAAACTGGAGGAGTCGGTCTTCCCCACAACGGAATATCTGCTAACAAGCTTCTGAGCCACTCGGCTTCTTGCCCAGCTAGGTCAAGAGCTATAAACTCTGACTCATGGTAGAACGAGCAATACAAGTCTGCTTTGATGATTTCCACGAGATCGCTGCTCCACCCAAAGTAAAAACATACCCGCTTGTAGAGCTTACCTCATCATTATCAGAAACCCAGTTGGCATCACAATATCCTTCCAATACCGCAGGAAAGCCAACAAACTCAAGTTTCCAATTCACAGTACCCTTAAGATACTTTAGTAAGCGTTTAAGCGCAATCCAGTGCTCACCACTCGGATTATGAGTATATCTACTTAGTCTACTCACGGCATAAGCAATATCAGGCCGAGTATAGTTCATTAAGAACATTAAACTTCCGATTAATTTAGCATATTCAGTTTGGGAAACACTACTTCCTTATTCTTAACTAGATGTATGCTAGGGTCATAAGGAGTCGAACGGGACGACATCAAAACTGTCAAATTTCTTTAGCACTTCTCTATATAATGTGCTTGACATAAAAAATCCCTTCTCAGTTTTGGTAACTTTGACTCCTAAGATTACATCTACTTCTCCCAATTTGTCATCTCAAACTTAGTGGACAAGAAATTTTTAACTTTGTTATGGACTCAATGTTAGAACTGAAAATCAACATGTCATCAACATAAAGACTTATGATAACACATTCAGTTTCAAACATCTTCGAATACACACAAGCATCCGAACCATCACAACAAAACCAAAACTAAGAATAGTTTATGAAATTCTCATACCCACTGTTTAGGAGCCTGCTTAAGTCCATAGAGTGACTTTTTGAGTCTACAAACTTTGCCTTCCATACCAGGTGCCTCAAAACCTAGTGGTTGCTCCATGTAAATCTCCTCATCTAGATCCCCATTCAAGAAAGCAGTCTTAACATCCATTTGATGTACCTGCAACTTATGAATAGAGGCTAGTGCAAATAATGCACGAATCGTTGATTTTTGTAACGGGAGAGTATGTATCAAAGTAGTCTAAACCAAACCTTTGAGTGAACCCTTTGACGACTAACCTTGCCTTGTACCGCTGAATCGAACCATCTGGCCTTAGTTTCTTCCGGAAGACCCATTTGTTGGAGATTGGTTTGAATCCCTTAGGCAAGTCAACTAATTCCCAAGTATGATTAGACATTATCGATTCTAGTTCATCATTAACAGCGCTTTTCCAAAAAACTAGCATCGATAGATCTTATAGCTTCTTCAAGTTTTAGGATCCTCATCTAATAGAAAAATTTGAGCTATAGATCTCTGAAGTCTAAATCATTTATCTCAGAAATAAAGGAGTAATAAGTGGTCCAAAAGAGGTTTCAACTCTTTGCCTTTTACTTCTTCTAGGCTCAAAATCAATTTGTTCAAAAGACCTAGCAGGATTACTAGAAGAAGTTGATGGAATATATTCTATTTGTGTTTCAATATTTATTCTCGTTCCTTTAAAGGAAAAGTATTTTCAAAGAAAACAGCATCTCTTGATTCACAAATAGAATAATCTTGTAAAAGCATGAATCTGTATGCAGCACTTCGTAGC